AGTTGGATAGAGGAATATATGCTGACTCTGGTCGTCTCCACAACCTGGTACGGATGTGGAATTGAGCTTTAGCATATCTAACTCATTGGACCACTAGCTTTTCTTTTTTATTATTTGGCACAAATTAAAGTGCCGAAAACAAGATTTTATTTCGTTGTTGGATGTTCTGAGAATATGCTGTGTGCATGGAAAGTGTCTCTAACCTTTTGGGAGGCTATAAATAGATGTTGCACTGTAACACTGTTCATCCAAGCCCAAAAAATAAGAAAATAATAGTTTTATTAATAGCACATGATTGATAGTGCGCTTGGCATGTAAGTGGTGAATTACTGGGCATTTACTTCTTTGGCAGGTGGCTTATATTCAAATATTTTCACTGGGAATGAATGTAATATAAGCTCACTGCCAAAGGAGATTTGCCCGGCAATTCACCGTTGCAATCTTCATCAACTCTGGGGTACTCCATTTGGGCAATCTTTATTTTAGAGTTGTTGCAATCTTTATGATAGCAGCCATTCTTTGGAATTTTCTGGCGTATATTCTTGAGTTTTTCTTATCTTCTTGCATATAATTATCATAGATGTTATTGTATCCACAAATTCACATAGGGTACTTCCCCAGAATAGAGATGTATACATGTTTGAGATAATTTTTACTATATTCCCCATATTCTTTCGGATATTAAAATAATCTCTCTCTTTTTCATTTGCCAATAGTGCAGGTGCGCTTTGAGCCCAACTAGACAATGCCTTAGTTTTCGCTAACTGGTCATGTCACTTTTGAAATGAAGTGTGCATGCTTATCCTTTCGGGTAGTCTTTACATTTACTTTGACGAATGAGAAATTTAACTTCTCTGATAGATGAGATGGTGGACCTACCTCACCACCTCCTATTTGGGTGTCGTCCGTGACTAACGACCACACATCGAAAGTGGCGGCCCTCTGACATATATGCATAGAGAGATCGGTGATGGACCAGTGATCGTGATGGCTAAAGACGGAGGATGTGCACGGAAGCACCGTGACAAGGCATTCGGCAATGGATAGGTCTCCAGTTAGTAGATAGAGGAGAAGATGGATTATAAAAGAAGAAAAAAGAGTGTAAAAGGGAAAATAGGAAAAAAAAACAATTATTTCAGATGGATTAATGCATCATTTAGTTAAAAGGAGTAAAAGGAAGATGTTAATTTATGCCCTATTGGAAAATATAGTAATTCGTAAAAAAATGGTCGGAGGTTATTTAAGGTGCAATTCAAGTAACTAAAGTCCATAATTTATGTCTATATTGATAACTATATTCGGATTAAAACATTTTTGTTATCGTAATAATGAATTTATTATATGAATTTTTAACCACAAGCCCCTTAATTCTGACCGCACCTCACATTCAGACATAACCATCGCAAATCAATCTCATCATTACCATGTTTGGAAAATTTTCTCCATTGTTTTCCATTTCTTGATTATAGTTAGAAAAGCCGTTCATTTAATTTTTATTAAATTTTTGACCTTTCTCCCCGCACATGCAGAGTGTGCGCCGTCTATTCCCCTTAATTATTTCGGAGACCTTTGTTCACATAGGAATGGCAAAATCTGATACAATGCTGCCGTCATATTTGAAAGTAGAGGTCCTCGTCATGCCAATAATTGTTACCGGACCAAATCAAATTTCTCTTCTCATTCACACTGCAAATTTAGTTCGTGGGACTTTCTTTATCTCTTAACTTTAACGTTAGGTATGAATTCTAGGTACGAAATGGCATTGGATTACTCGCACGCATGTCATGCCACCATATATGATTCCCATTGGGTATTAAATAAGTACAAGCGAAATCAGCTAGAATTGATGGATTCTTTTAAGACCCATGAGATTTCGGAGTATCTTCTCTTGAACACACGCGATAATCAGATTTTAGCTATGGTAAAGATGTTTTTTTTTTTTGGTAAGGTAGCTATGGTAAAGATGTTAATGTCAACCTACATCATAAACCCATCAATAAATGAGGTCATAGTTCACGTGAATATTTTAATGAAGTTCAAGTTGTAAGATTTTTTTGTTGTGTGATTGAGTTTATACCGGTTTTGGTCAATTTGATAACTCTACAATATTCCCTGCTAGTCTATAATATGCTTTGTTGGTTGTACCGTTGATGAAAAATGTACGTGTGTTATTTTTTTATGTTTGATGACTTTATTTTGATCATTTATTCTTTTAAAATGGGTTCTATTTTTATAAACTTTAGGTTAAAAAAGTCTTTATATATGAATATTAAACAAGTCTAATTGTGTAGAAATAAATCCAAGTAAGATGTGATTTTTCTTATGACACAAAATCATTTATGCTAAATTTAAACAGCTAAATTATATGTCGTATCATACGAAAGGGTCGAGTTGAGAATTGCTGGTTTACCATCTACTGCGAATATAACAGGGTTACTGTTGCAACCAAAAAGTCAAACACAAAGTCGTGAGAATATATTAGATCATAGTTATTAACTTATTAATACCATCAATTTACCTTGTTTTTTTTGGTTTTGCCGACAAAGTTCAAGACGTGTCTAAAACTAATCATCGGCGGTGCCAGTGGCGCGTGGGCACGAGAAGCTCGTGCGAAATTGTTAATCTCTTGCTCACCTGCTTAAAAGTTTACCATTAGTAAAAAATGGAGTTTCTCAAATAGCATAAATAGTATTAAATACAAAAAATAAAATAGCATCAGAATATTCTCGAAAGACGCTTTTTGGTCATTTACCATCCTGCCCTCGAGCATCAGGCAAAACATTATGTTGACCACGACCTACTAAAAAACGAAGAATGTCTTCTTCAACCTTAATTTATCAAAACACGCAACCATTGCTTGGCCTCCAAAAAATAAAAAATGTAGTAAACGTGATTATTGCATTAGGTCCACTAAATTATGCAGCGTTTGCATAGATCTCTCCTTTTAATCTAATTGAATTAAGATTAAAAAAAGTAAACCATAGTGTCAATTGTTTCCTAGAAATTCCCAAAGCAAAATGTTCAAAGTAGGCCGATATTCAAACAGAGTATATATGAATGAATAGAATAGATGAAAGGAAAAGAAAATTTTGTATCAATATATACTTGGTGGGTATGAACATGATGTTGTGGTCTCAATGATCAATGTTGTCCAAATCCTTCACTCTTGAAGCAATCCAAAAATGAATTACGCTTAGAGGAACCCATTTGTGTGTGTGTGGTGTACAAGCAACAAGATGTTGCTTTAAAGGGTCAATTTTGAGAAGTTGGCTGGTGCTTTCATCTTAGCTAGAGATGTACTGGTTACTATGGAAATGGGACCTGCAATTCGTGTTGACATCTTTTGCCATTAGTCATTATTAGGTACTATATATGCAGGATTATATTTTTTTTCTCTGATACTTTTATTGGTAAATAGCTGCCACTATCTTCTATAAGGCTATAAATTCGGGGCATATATTGAGTGGAGCTCCTGCCAACCTATGCCTGGAGCATTTATACATCTGTGGAGGAACTTTCTGACTTTTAACATGCCGATTGGGTTACGGTAATCGCTTGTACACCTACTAGTGAATTAAGTAGTTATGGCTCAAACGAAACATTCCGTAACAGGAGTAAGATATTTACAGAGAAAGGTCACAGCATTGGTCATGCATTCCCAACTTTTTTACTTTGCCAAGTTAAGACACATGGTATTACATAGTGCAACCTGCACTAAGACCAGATTCTCAGACCTGGTAGGGAAAAATACCAGCTTGAATCCCGAATTACTTTAGCAACCTTTGAGTGGTACTCCAATGTAGTATCATACATAATCCTACTGTTATAGACATGACTATTATCAGTTAAGTATATTATTTGTTCCCTCATTTTTGTAGTTAATGAAACTGATTTGTCGATACTCTTCCGTGCAATCAAATTCATTAACTAGTGATGTAAATTTTGCTAAAGCGACGGGACTGGCTACATGATATTGATGTGGCAATCAGAGATTGCCTTACCTCATTGACATTGGAGAAACATTGATGAAAGTATCAATGATTAACTTTTCTCTATATTGATTATTTGGCATGTCATATCAACATTGATGAAACTATCAATGACAGAAGGAAAAAACTTAGTCATACATTTCAACTTTTCAAGTAAATCAAAGGACCTAATTGTACAACATTTTATTACATCTGCAATGAATTTGAGATGCACTTGCCAAAATCTAAGCAAGTTCGGATATGAAAAGTGGACTTAACCCTACTTATTACTATATAAATTGAAACAAATAGAGAACCCCAAGCGAATTGGTTCATTTTCCCTGACTAAAAGCCACGTCAGATCATTATCTCACATGCCCTTCCCTCGCATTTTCTAGGAAAACCTAACTTCTCCCATATGATGTAATCAAAGCTGAAAACCAACGAAATTGAATCAAGTGATAATAAACAAAAGTGTGAACACTGAGTTTGAGTCCTTCCCGTAAGTAATAGGCAAACCCAAGGGCAATCACGGTAATTAAGAGTGTATAAATACGAAGCCGCTCGTGCCCTCGTTAAATCTCATTAATCATACAATTTCCTCTGGTAATGGAAGAAGCCGACGCAGGAAGAAGCTGAAGCAGTCGTGAAGATCATCGATAGATGCTGGTTCGAGCTCCAGATCTTCGAGAAACGACCAGACACATTGCCTTCTTCAACGTCCGGATCCGATCCGGATCAAGAAAGCATAGAAATACCAGAAAACGAAAACCCATGTATTCATATATCACAGACTCCGTCGATTCTTGTGAGGTACATAAGCGATCAAACGAGTATCAACCCAGCAAGCTTCCAACCAAGCTCTCTCTCTCCAGACTCAGTCCTCACCACTCCTATTCACATCATGATCTATGAAGAAGAGGTAATCACAGAGGAGGAGGAGGAGGAAGAAGAAGAAAAGAAGAAGAAGAAGAGGGTTTCAAATGGAACAACCCGAGAAGTCCAGAATTCTCGCGCAGCAAAAGCGGCCAAATGGGAGGAAGAGCGAAGAGGAGGGCCTTGAGCAAGAGCTTGTCGCAGCTCGAGTTCGTGGAGTTGAAAGGGTTCATGGATCTAGGGTTCGTCTTCTCGGAAGAAGACAGAGTCGACTCGAGCCTGGTTTCCATCATTCCTGGGCTACAGAGACTGGGCAAGAAAATTAAAGACGGTGAAGAAAACGATGAAGATGCCGATCATCATCAAGAAGATGGTGATGAGAAAGCGAGTGTTGGTGAGTCTGCAGTTGTTGCACGGCCATATCTCTCGGAGGCGTGGGAATGGTGGGAGGAGAAGAGGAAGGAGGATCCACTGATGAACTGGAAGGGTCCTGCTCTTGGGAACGAGACCGACATGAGAGAGAGTCTCAAATGGTGGGCTCACACCGTTGCTTCTACTGTTGTTAGATGACGGTTGTTTTCTGATGTCGTTGTTATTGGTTCAATGTTGGAAATCTAGATAATGTAAAAGTTTTTCTGATATGGGTTATATTAATTGATATTGTAATTTACCGTTTTACAGGATTTGTCTAATAAGGCTAGATATAAAGTTTTTTAAATAGTTTACTATGGGACTGGCTAGTGTGGGCCGAGTAAGACCTGGCCTGTGATAAAAGGGCCTGGCTTAAAACTTTATAAATAATGCTCAAGTCTCTCCTCTAATCCTTACACACACATATCTCACAGAAAGAGCAAATGCTATCTGTGAGAGGCAATCTCATTGAGCCAGTGATACAGAGGGTAATAGAGGAAAAGACTTGCGCTGAGGATCGTCGCTATTCCGCGTCAAGAACGATGAATTCCAAATTGGGTGCACAAATTCATTTTACTCTATTACTGTATTATAGATTCTAGCTATGGAGATATTGGGTGTCGTTTTATCGTGGCAACATGTGATATCGGAGCTGCCATAGCCTAGAACTCGAACGTCCAGATGTTGCCTTTTTTTTTTTTTTTTTTTTGATAACCGAGGTGTCCGCGCGGCCGGCGAGCTAGGACTCAAACCAGCGGTGATGCCCGACTAGTCCTCGAGGGGGGCTAGCGCAGCATCCCACCGCCACGACCCCCCCACTTAAATCACCGATGGGCGAGTTTGAACCCAGGGCCTCTCGTGAAAGGAACTGAGCGCAAACCAACGTGGCCACCGATGGGTGGGTGGATGTTGCCTTTTTTCGTGTTTTTTGTTCGTCAAAAATTGATTTTGATTGCATGTTCAGAATGTGCTCGACGAGATGAAGATTCTGATAGGCGACACACCACCAGGGGATTCCGCACGAGCAGCCATGCGCCGCTAGGTGCGGCGTGCGTCGCCACACACTGTCATACGTGCCCCACACGTTAGGGTTGACATCAGCCACCCTGACACGGTTGTCGCGCCGCACTTTTTTTTTTTTAGGTTTCGAAATTTGCGCGCTAAGGAGGTATTTCCGTGTAGGAGTCTCTCCCAGACCATATCTCACGTGACAGTGGAAGGTGATTTCTTATTTAGTCTAGGTTTGTGATTTTGGAGTCGCCACTAGTCATTATTGGTAGGTAGACTAGAAACCTAATCGAGGTACGGAAGAAATATCACGATTCTACGAACCATAGATTTTGAGTACGGGGACTTGGTTACGTTATTGATCCCTAATTGAGATCCCTAACGCCCTTTCGGTACCTAAAAACGATACGATGTCTAACGTGTCATGCAAATTTCCGAGGCTTATCCACTAATTCTATCCGTTCTAATCGCAGGAAGAACCAAACAAGTATCAAACGCACAATCGAAGTCAATCAAATCAATCAATCCTAAATGGTCTCTAAAACTGAAAATCAATCAAAACATCCAAACCCTAATGAAGTTCCAGAAGCTTATTCATTTCATGATATACATTTTTTAGGGTTTTAGGGTTTTTTAGGGGTTATAACCCCTTAATTTTGGGATTTTCTAAAAATGCTATTTGGGCACTTCAAAAAATTCAAATTTCACTTTTTATGGTTGGCCACGGTGTTTTTGGACCATTCTGTGAATTTTCAAAATATTTTATTTTTGATTTTTTTTTCGGAAATTTTATTAATCGAGAATTGATTTTTTATGATTTTCCGAAAATTTTTATGAATTTTCTTATTTTTCAATTTTTATTGATTTTTCTGAATTTTTCGAATTTTTATGAATTTTCTGAAACTTTTCGAATTTTTATGAATTTTCTAATTTTTTGTGAATTTTCTGTTTTTCTGAATTTTTTAAATTTTTTCAAAATTTTTTATATTTTCCTAATTTTTTATTTTTTTCTTATTTTTTTCTGCTTTCTACGTTTTTTTATTAATTTTTTATTTTTTTATTTTTTATTTATTTTCAAAATTCCCGCCTGGAAAATGAACCGGATCGGTCCGGTTCAACCCGGTTCGGCCTAGCGAACCGAGCGTCGCCCGACGCCAGCGTCGATCATCTCTTCCGGCGAACATGACGCCAAAAACGGCGTCGTTTCCCTTTTTGTTCATTGAGGCATTTTATCAAACACCTCATGGGCATGAATCCTAGTTCTGCGTTTTTGAGGCCGCCAGTTTGAATCATTCTCCGGCGACCTTCCGGTGAGAGTTTCGTCATTCGGATTGATCCATTGTAAAGTTCATGTATTCTATTTTCAGTCCGATCCATTTAGTACGTCGTCGGACCTCTGATGGCCGACGTAAAACCGATCCAAAAAACCTAATTTGCTAACTATCCTAAACCATATATTCAAGTCCACGGATTATCATACCAATCGCCCTAGCCGTCTACATCGATCTCAATCGATATAAAATCATCAAACAAGGTGAGAAAATGCTAACTTGAACGGCATATGGCCATGGGGATACTCCGGCGAGGTCCTCCGAATTCCAGCAAGATAGTTCACGAAATGGCTAATTTGGTTTATGCGTTTTTAATGCCCACAAAATATGTTTAGAAATGTATTCTAAGCATTCAGAAACTCAAAATTTGAGAGAAGATTGCATAATTAGCAAGATTGAACTAAATCATGCATTTTATAATTCTGGAAAACCATGACTGTGAAGGGATTTTACCTTCTTCGAATGCAATCAAATCGGAGTTCCTGGACTAAGCAGTGCCCGTGGAGTTGTTCTTCAACACTTAAGCTTCCACCTGGTGGTTTTGGCTTCGCCGGAAAGGCTCTGAGCACGCCGGCCGAGCTCGATTTTCAGGCTCAGTTGACCAGCCTCGGGCCAACTGTTCCAGGTGAGGAGGCTCACCACCTGGGCTGATTCGCCGGCGCTTTTCTGGCCGGGAAAGCGCTAATCACTCGGTTCGGGAAGCCTCTACTCACCTCTCGTTCAATCTCTCTCTCTTTCACTCCTATTCTCTCTCTCCTCTCTCTCGGTAATTTCGTCGAACAAGTTCCCCTTCTCGGATAAGTTTTTTTCTCTTTTTGTTGATCGTTTTTTTTTCCCGCCCAAAGTTCGTTCCACCGACTTCCGATCGGTTGGAATGGTTATCTGGTGCCAGCTGGAGATTCTCCAGCTGGCTAAGGCAATTAAAACGTGTTAAATTGCCCACCGAAGTCCACAGTCTCGGACGCAAACTGGTTTTTTCTGGGTTTATTGCGTTTTGAGCAAGCCGGGTAAAGAAGGTGACCGACCCGAGTCGGGTCGGGTTGACCCGGTCGACCCGACAGACTCGGGTTGGTTTAAATTCACAAATTCAACCCGATTTTCACCCAATTTTCCAAATTTAGCCCCAAAATTTAATTCTTCATCATATTCTGAACCCAAATAGGTAATTTTCCCCAATTTATGTTATAATTGTGTCCAAAATTTTCACATTTTTTTATCCGGGTTAATAGGGTTTCGTTCAATTTAATGTCCTAATGACCTGATTAGGTGAAATTGATGCCAACATTGAATTACCCACACCTAATTAACCTTAGAAATGATAACCTAATGGTTCGACAATTTCATATTGGGCACGTATCCCAATTTGGGTTCAAAATTCTTATTTTTCAATCGAATTTTGGGGATTTTTTATTTTTATATCAAATTGTGCAATTGGACCGACCACTATGCAATTCAAGGTCCCAGAATCATTTGTTGTGAAGATACTATGACTTAAAAATGACTAGAAAAAATTTAATTGCATTTTTGGTTCAATTCGAGTTTAATTTTGCCCAATTTTGGGAAAAACATATACCCGATTGAGATTTTTCAAAATTGATAATGTATTCATGAAATTGGATTTAAAATAAGACTAATGACTATTTTTATGGAATTTTCTGATTCCATTTGCTATTTTCTTGATTTTCTTACTTATTTTGACTAAAATAAATTAAATAAAAATGCTAAAAAATGATAAAAAATTATTTTTTGGTTTAGAAATAGGTTTCTAGGCTTGGCCAAGATTCCTAGTCCTAATTTTGAGATTTTTGGAAATATGAAAAAAATAAGTTAAAAATTAGGTGTCAACAACGGTCAACCCAACCCAAATCTGAAGATTGAATTGACCCGACCCGTGACTTTTGTTGACCGAGTGACCCGACCCATTGACTTTTTGTTGACCAGGTGACTTGACCTGGTTGACCGGACTGGTCGACTAGTCGGATCGACGGTTCAGACCGGTTTTACCGGTGGCGCGTGAGTGCATGTACGACATCTAATTGGGACGTTCTTGGTACCTCCACACTCATATTGAGATGCTTTACATTGTGGTGTATTTATTTTATAAGTTTAAGTCTTTTAAAGACGTGAAAATACGTATATAACCCTATATATGTGTATTTTTAGGGTAGTTTTGCATATGTTCTTGTATTTCTCTATGGTTTCAAAAATTCAGATGGTAGCTAACATGTATGTCACCACATAAGGAATGTGTAGAGTGTAATTTATTGTCTATCAATGAATGGAGCAATGTAATTGGCATGTCATGTGATTTTAGTGACAAATTACCTCTGTCTTCAAGAAAATCACATGTATATGGTAAATGTGAGACATGAAATTTATATTCCTAGTATGAGAGAGTTTTAAGGATTCAATTGGGTTGTGACCACCAAAGTGACACATTTGATTGGATTTGAGAAATATCGGTCTCATATTGTGGTGGGATATCTCTTATTCTAATGCATGGTCTTATTTCCAAAGGAGGTGATTGTGTATTAGTTTATGGGAGGACACATGTACATCATATGCTTGAGGAGTGATCATCTTAGTGGTTCAGACATCCAAAGGTGGTGAATTCACGAAAGTTAGAATATATTCTCATGGCCGTTGTCATGTAACTGCATGTCATATATTTCTGCCCGAAGGTGTTTGTATGATGATGTATGTAACTCTCAGGATGCGTACTTATACGATTTTAAGTTACACGATGCTCACATATAATACTAATTATGTACATTGCTTATCAAATTAGTCACCTTCTCTGAAAACGACGACTCTATTAGG